AATGAAGTTCGGGTGGTGAACTACTCACAACCTTCTTATTGATAAGGATCTGAATTTTGATTTTCTTGATCTGAAATGGTTAATAAAAGGATGAGTTACACTATCCCAGTAAGAATATCGCACTAATCACAGATACAAAAAAATTAAAAATTGGTAAAAATCAGAAAAATAACTAATAGAGCCCTTGCTTTATTTAAATACATTTAAACTTGAAGACGTTGTTTGATACTTACCATAACGAGTTTCTCAAAAATAACCTATGAAGACCCATATCCATATCAAATTTTTACTTTAACGCATAAGAGAATAAGAGATAATAACTTTCATTTTTTACTTGCTTACTCGTACCCCTGGGGTCCATAAGGATGTCCCCCTACTCGTGAACCCAATATCCAATTTAACAATTGATCGATCGTCCCCATATCTCGTCCGGTAATGAGAGTCAAATATTCTATCACCTCGATACCCCATCCGGTATGAGGATGAACCATATCTCTCAAACTTTTTCGGTAAGGGACTTTTCAGCCTCGACCAACTGAGCTAACATTCACGGTAGAGTTTTCTATATACCAGGCCCGTCCACCCTTTTCTTGGGTAACCAACAAGTCTTTCACATACAGTTTTTTATCAACAAACGCATACCAATATCTTACATCACATTCACAGATTAATTAAACTACATTCATGCTGACGGTGTATAACCAAATTAACCATATAAGTTGATAAGACCATTAAATTATAAAGTAAGAACATGTATTATACGAAAATCAAGCAAATAGGACAGTACAGAAAAATAAACGGCAAATCAAGACAATTATGAACTAGTCGATTCCAGTTTCACTAGTAACTTATTATTATTCTTAGAGTTTTCTAATTTTTCATAAAAATATAAAATTATATATCGTTAAACCTCAATTTACCGTAACAGAGAATAGGGTGAGGTATCCTTACCTGGATCGGTGTTTTGAGATATCGCGACGTCTACCACGCCTCCTAACGGGTACCGAATTCTCTAAATTTTTTCTGTAAAATTCAAAATACTCGTCACATACCTAAAAATACCCAAATTTTTTAAAATTGGTGTTCGAAACTCTTTCCTGCCAAATTTTGAGTTCTGACACGGCGGTGGCACCGTGCTCTGACGCCGACTCCATCGCCCATGGCGGCGGTCCGTCTTGGTCAGGTCAACTTTGTCTGATTTGGCCATCTTTACACGTATCCCTGCAGAAAAACACGTTAAAGGGCCTCATTTGGTAGGAAAATCACCAAAAACACCAAACCTACCAGCAGGAGGTCACCGGGTGCGGTGGCTCTGTCAGTCCTCCTTTGCAGCTGAGCTTCTTTCTTCGGCTAACCTGCACAGAAAAAGACGGTGAACACAATGATTGAAAAATCACGTGAAACAAAAATAAGGAAGAGTCTCATCAGATGAATTTTTTGGTTTTGCTCGCGACGGCTCCACCGAGCTTTGTTGCTCCAATTTGGCCACAGGGTTGTTCAAAATCAAATTCCGAGCGGATAAAGAAAATTTTTACCTTTTTAGCGACCGTCGGTGGCTCCGATGCGACGGCCGTCAGTAGTTGGCCTCCTTCTCTGACACCTGGTTCTTATTCTCCAGCGGGAGCTGGCAGCTAGGGTTTGGGATACCATGTGACGCGAAATATTTATACCTATCTTGCGTTGATCTGAGCCGTCCATCACGATTTATCTAGTCTGTCTGATCATATTTAAAGAGGAAACGAATCTAGTCTGTCTATCACAATTGATCTCGATCGTCCGATCATTCCTAAGAAAAAAATAAATTTGGACCATCCACATGCGCGGAATTGATCTTGAGCCATCTAATCGTGGGGCACGTAAATCGCCTACGTGGCTTCCTGCGTGTCACCAACGTCAGTGTGCCTTGCCATGTGGCGTACTCCTATTCGTCGAAGATGCTGATTGGACGGTCCTACGTTGCTGAACTTTTTCTATTTGCACTTTGATCCCTTATTTCTAATTTTTCTTTTAAAAACACCATCCGAATTCAAATTTTCATCCTTTTTGTTATGAAATTCCTTTCAATTAAATCTCTACCTATTTTTTTTTCAATAATTTAATAAAATTAAATAAAATTAATTTGTAATTAATTTTTTTTATTTATTTCTAAAACAACAAAATTGATCCCGGGCCAAATTTCAACCCTGAGTATTATAACTCTCCCTCTTTAGAAGAAATTTGATCTTTGAAATTTGTCACCCTCTCATCTTGTCAAACAGTTGGAGATACTGAGCTCTGAAGTCCGATTCTAACTCCTATGTGGTCTCTTTCTGGGCGTGATTCTGCCGCAGGACCTTCACAAAGGGAATTTCTCTATTGCGGAGTACTTTGCTTTTTCGGTCTACAATGTCCACTGATACCTCCTCATAGGATAAATTCTCTTGGAGTGAATAGGGCTCGTGGGACATGATGTATGAGGGGTCTGATTTGTACTTGCATAGCGTGGACACATAAAATACATTATGAAGTCTAGATAGCACCGGAGATAGTACCAGTCTGTAGGCAGTCGTACCAATCCTATCGAAGATCTCAAATGGCCCAATAAACTGAGAATTTAATTTTCTCCTCTTGCTAAATATAACGACCCCAAAAATTCAAAAGAAAATATATATAATTTAAATGCAGAAGTGAAATAAAAGGTTAAGATTTATATCCCTTACACAATAACTTAAAAGTACTAAACAACATTACGAAATGAATTATCTGAAAGAAACACGAGAAATAAGAAAAATAATGGAAAATAGAAGGTATCTAGCATGTACTCGCAATCTTCTTGCGGATCGGGCTCTGGAACCAGGTCCTCTTGATCTGAAATGGTTAAATAAAGGATGAGCTATACTAGCCCAGTAAGGATATCACATTATATCACCGACACAGAAATAAAAGTTGGTATAAAATCAAAATAACTTATGGAGCACTAAATTTAGCAAATTCGTTTATCAATCATAAAACCATTTACCGTTCATTTACTATAATGAAATTAATGAAAACAACCTATAAAGATAATAATACCATACAGATCATAACGTCATGAACAATCAGCAATATAGAACATATAATAAATTTATATCCATTAACAATAAACCAAATCATAATCATTTCTCATTTCATCAGGCTACTAGTATCCATGGGGGTTCATAGGGGTGTCCCCGCTATACGTGAACCCGTTCGCTTAATAATCTTAATTACAGGGTCATCCCCATACCCCGTCCGGTATGAGCACCAAGATATCAAACTTCAATACCCCGTCCGGTATGAGGGTGAAGCGGACCATCCCCATACCTCGTCCGATATGAGCGTCAAATTACCAAGTCTTCATACCCCGTCCGGTATGAGGCAACGTTCATGGTAGGGTTCCCTATGTACCCGGTCTGTCCACCATCTCCCAAGATATCTAGGAAAGCTGCCATTCTATCTGTTTATTTGATCACTCCCTTTTCCTGTTTTTCTTTAGTCTCAATTACCAAATCAAACACAATCACATAAACAAATAAACATGCATCTAGTAATGCAATCATGTCTCAAATCCCAAATAAAATAGTAGTCAAGTAAGACAGTAATACATGTATTTAAACCATAAAATAGATAAATTATATACTATCATACTTTTAGACTGTAAAATAAATCAACAGAGAGTAGTGTTTGGTTCGGGTTCCATTAGCAATCCGTAATTAA